AATCATAGTTTAATATAAAAAGAACCGTATCGTTAACCTAATCAGCCATGTCACAGTATTGCGCAGTTCCGTTTTGTTCGGAAAAAGAGGAGGACATAATATTTTTTTAGCTCTGCTGCTGACATTCATTGACACATAACTCATATTTGCCATATTTAATGTGAGTTGTTACAAAACATTCACAATATTATTTTAATTAGAAATAAATCGGTTGTCAACCCATAAACATTTGACATTTCGGAGAGCTCACGTTACAAACACTCACGTTTGTGGCTATGGAGTGGACTTAAAACTTTGGTAGCTTTACATTTGGCTACATTTATTATATCTCCTCCTTGGCGACGCCTTTAGTTATATTTATTGGTTAACTTAAACTTTCAAGGTCACTTACAATGATATCAAATAAGTTTACACGGTAGCACAGCAAACCCGCTAGTAACAAAACTTTTCACGTTTTGTTTATTTTTCAAATTATTTCTTTCCATATATGCTACATGTTTCCATATATACTTCCAAGTCGAGATCAAGTAGGTACCGTATAAAGCGATAAAATATGCGACATGAAATGAGCTTAAGTGACCATATCTTTTTTTGCGATGCCTAAGAAATTCCAGATTTTGGCTCTTCCAAGACATTGCAGATTTGAGTATTATAATATGATATTTTTATGTAAGCTTAATACCTCTACGCGTTATAAAAAAAAAGGTCTTGAATTCTTGAAAGACGAGTAGTCTAAGGGTTTGATAACCGTGGTACTCTTATTTTCTTTTGAGTTGTTGAACCCTAAGCACTAACAAATAGAATTAATGCAAGCACATATGTATTTTTTTTCTAAATGACTTCGCACGGCTTGTGTATTTAGCCAATTTCAAGTGTTAAATGTATACAGATACCATAGCACTCGTGGTCAAAGTAAGTGGCAGAGAAGTTAATCCCCCTTTCCCTATGTTTCAGTGAAGTGTGTTTTTCAGTGTGGGGATTTACTGGAACCTCCCCGTGGACTTCTTGAGGGAATGTCGAAAGACACTTTCCGCTATTTTGTTTCACTTGCCAACACTTGTGCATGTTTCCGAACACTGAGTGGTTATCAATCCACCATTACTAGACACTAACATCCGCTAACACAATTTTTAATAAGAAAAACAAAACTGCTAAAGTGACGCTTCCCGATCCCGCCAAAAAGTCCAAGAACGAACAGCGATTGTTTGATAATTTACCAGCAAAATCAGGACAAAGGTTACGATTCTTGTACAGTATTCTGTTTTTTATGGATGTCTGTAACTACTTATCTTTATATATATAATTCTTCTGTGAGTGTGTATGTCACTGAACTTCTCTTAAACGACTGGACCGATTTTGATGAAATTTTTTGTGTGTGTTCAAGGGGATCTGAGAATGGTTTAGATTCACAATTTTGTCCGCTGGACAACCCCTATTTTTTTAGGGCGGTACGAAGTTCGCTGGGTCAGCTAGTATGATATAAATAAAAAAAAAACAATTTTACGGAGGTCTGTAAGAAGGCTTACAGCAATTTATACAATCTTAATTTTGCTACACTTTCATTCATCAAAACGATTGAGCAACATCCAATCTATTAAAATAATGCTTCGTAACATTTTGACAATAAAGAAAGAACCTAAATCTGTTGAATAACGCCGTCATGAATATAAAGTTTGATAACTGCTACGTTGCTGGGAGGGATTTTCTCCCTCAACATTTCTAGGAGCGCTTTAATACATACAGGCCAAGGTCTCGTAATAGGCTCTGGAATAAGATAACCTACTTACTGACATACATATAGGCCAGATTCGGCTATCTGGAGCTCGGCCTTTATTGTTTGAGATTTTCACAACGTCACGTTTGATTTTTCACCGTTACTTCAGGTGTGTTTTTTTTAAACGAGACGTAGCAAATTACAAAGGAACTTAGTGGTCTAGCAATCCTCGCTCGGAAGGCACGTTAAGTCGTTGGTCCCGGCTTAATCCGCACTGTGCCCGCGTGGTGGACCAATATCCATATTCCATCCATAGGGAAGGCCTGTTCCCAGCAGTAGGGATATTAATATGCTGATGATCATGATGACGATTCAGTGGAGATCTGGTAGCCTGAAAACAACGAAAACTCACACTAGGTACACCATATACTATAGCCTACTACATATTTGCAGCCAGTAAAGACCAAAATGTTTGTTTGGCGTGTATACCTTCAGCGTTTATTTCTGTAGGATGAAAAATCATAAAACAAACAATGACGACATCCGTGGCCGAGAGGTTAGTACGCCGGGTTTCATGGAGTCGCCGACTCGAGAGGTCCCGGGTTCGAATCCCGGTGGGGGCAGATGTTTGTGTGATGAATACGAGCATTTGTACTCCTCGTGGATGTTTAATATGTATTTCTATATAAATATACTTATATATGTACAGTATATGTGTTCTATCCGTTACCCTAGTATCCCATAAAACAAGCCTTACAGTGCTTACTTTGGGGCTAGGCTAATTGGTATGTCTTTAAAAAAAAATATAATCAATCCCAATATTATATTTGTTTCTTTAATGATTTTTCGTCCTCCATACAATATCATAAAACGATGCTACATATATATTAATTACGTTTTTATAACAAAGTAACGCGATATTTGGTATTTTTCCCGCTTAAATGGAACAAAGACAGCAACGCGATGCCCTAGAGAGAGCAGTCATAATACTAAGTGTTACTAAAAGCTTTTAGTCGTAATTGCCATAATAAATTACCGAAAGAGCTACTACCTACTAAAGTAATCATTATATAGTTTATACGTAGTCATGTCAGGACGGCGCTGGGAGGTTGTAAACCGATATTGCGTACCTTAATAAATAACATAATTAGATAAAAACAATTTGCCTAGATACCAAAGTAGTAAATGCTGGGAAAATCACTTGTGTCGTGGAAACCAGGAATAATGTTCTCGTCGTTATTAAAACACCTAGACTTGAGACATTAAAAAAAGAGCCCAAAAATGGTGATAATTATGTTTTCTTCGAGGAGTTCGATGGCAGAGGCGAGGAGCACGTCGAAGTTATTGGATGGGTGACCAAAACTTGTTATTTCGAACTCCTCCGTGCTTCGGAAGGAACGTTAAGACGTTGGTCCCGGCTGTGTCTGCATTCGTTAGCAGCCCACCATTCCGCGCTGGCTCGAGTGGTGAGACACGGCCCAGTCTTCTCATCCCATAATTGGCTCATGATGATGTTGTTCCCGTGCAAAGCGAGTGCAGGTTGCTAGTAAAATATAAACCACACACACTTTCTTACGTTTGAGTATCCATTTTGATATACCTTTTTTATAAATGTCTTACGCATCTTTTCAGCCCTTTTCATTTTAGCCATGCCTTAGCCCTAGCCCTTGGCCTCGATGAAATGGACAGTATAATCCCGACTGGCCCTTTGACCCTAAGGGCCGTTTGAGCATCTACCGCCAATCGCAGTGATCAGAATCACTGCAGGGTGATGCTCCTACCCTGGTCCTGAAAAGGACCGTTTATCCGTGCTCAGCAATCGGTGTGCTTACCGTCCCTGAACGATTAAGATATACTTAGGTATTCGTTACAAACTACGAAGAAATGTATGTTCACATTTAAATAAAAAGAAATGATTCTCTCAGTTAGTACCAATAAAGTGTCCAATGTAAAGAGTATTTAACAAAATCTTTGAATAAATGTTCACAGAGAATAAGTAAATAAAATTATGTTTCAAACAAAACAATGCCTTGTGTTGAAACAAGGATCATTTTACAGAACGATTTAGACTGAAGAATACAGAACATTGCTTTTTTGTTATTTGATTTTTTACTGAATCTTTTTAATAGAGTAAGATCCCAAGACTGTCAGGCCTTCCTTATCTTCACAGAGACAAAATATGGAAAATCGAGTAATATTAGTTCGTACAATAAACGTATACATACTCGCTAACTTGTGCTGTGGGCCAATTTTCAGGTATCAGGTGGCGCAGGCACGTAAAAATTTTACTCACTTTACTTATAATCTGAGGACTGATTCTTACGTATGTTGCAGGGAATATTGTAAACAATTTGAAATTAATACTGCCAGACACATTCTGTCAGCAGTTTCTATTACCTGACACTTTTGTGTGAGTGAATGTCGAAAGCGAAAAACACAAACTTATGGTAGACATACACACTACGAGAAATCGTTACGATTAGACTGTACAGTCCGAATGGTACCGATAAATCGTAGCGTGTATGTTATAAAACTGCACAGTTTCCTTTACGTACGCCACGTACGATAAACTGTTCCGTTCGAACTGTACAGTCTGATCGTAACGATTTCTCGTAGTGTGTATGGCTACCATTACAGTCTGAGACCTGATATTTGTCTATGATATTTAGGGGGCTGCTATTATTATATTTTGTAACCTGCCAGACCAACCTTGGGGGCCAAAAATTTCCAAAGCTTATTTAAACTTCCACTGTGAGAAAACGCTCGCTCATGGTAATTAAGTGTCTTTTTAATACAGCTCAATTTCTATTAACTTGTAAATAGTATAAAGAAAGTCTGTTACAAAAATTGAATAAATCCTAAAATAATAATCCTTGTTATTTAAATATTAACATTTTTTTAGAAAATATGTACGTTTTTGTTTTTGCTTTGTCGACATTAACGTGTCTGGCAATAAAAACTACTTTAGGAATGTGTCTGACAGTATTAAATTCAAATTGTATACAATATTCTCTACAACATGCGTAGGAATCAGTCCTCAGACTGTAAGTTAAGTGAGTAAAATTTTTACGCGCCTGTGCCAATTGATGACTGAAAATTGTCCCACAGCGCAAATTAGCGAGTATGTATACGTTCATTGTACACACCAATACTACTCGATTATCCATATTTCGTCCATGAGAAAATAAGTAAGGTCTGACAGTCTTGGGATCCTTTATTGTTATGTTAAATTGAACTTCATTCAAGAGAGCAATTAAACTAATATATATTCCTATACTTGTTTCAGGTACATCCGTTTGGACATCTCACTCATAAATAAAATTGTGAAAAATTTATTCAAAATGATAGAAGACAATTGAGTGATCAGTTTACTCTGTTTATTTTCACTTCAAAGTTGATACAGTGAGTGTTAGAATGATCGCCATGAGGAACTCGCATTGACAGTGATCGAGAGCTAGGAAGCTCTACAAACTACAGCTAATCCATCAATGCTAAATTACAGACTAGTCTCAACACATTTCTTGAAGCAACCGTAAAATCTCAACGACCCAATACCGTATTGACTGTTTGTGCCGTACCACTATGTGCCGGAAAAGGGACAAGTCGGCGATAAGGAGTGACATCATCAAATAAAACCTATTTGTGAAGAGCCAATAAGACTCTATAGTCTATAGTTTAGTGTCAAGTTTTCCGCCAAAACGGCGCGCGATTTCGGGCCACCGTTTCGTTTTGTTTCTTTCAATTTATTTTACATCAAAGGATAAGCAATAGCCCGGTTGTTTAGTGTTTGATTGTCTACAATTGGACGGGGTTTTGCTCTAAGGCGGGCCCCAATTGCACGACACTGGCCAGCCGCACACGAGATAATATTTCCAGGATATTAAATTCCATAGTTGGCGCCGCAAGATACTGTATTGTGAGTATATTATAGTTTATAGTATTTATAGTACCTATTATTTTTCTTAAGTTAACATGGGCCAGTATTTTAACTAGAGCAACACAATTTAAAAGACCATAGATATTTTGGGTTTTATAATTTTTAATCCTTTTTAGTTGCATTCGAATATCGTTTAATTTCAGAATCTTCACGTAAACGGCCCTTTTGGATATTGGGGATTTAATTTGAAGTCTAAAGTTAAAGCAGAAACATGGTACAATTGGAATGTGAACAACAGGTACTTGTGAAAATTAACAGTGGGGCTTCACTTAAATCACTTAATCCGTAGTTTTATTATTTTTATACTTACAATCCTAGATAACAAAATATGATTTATTGCTTATACGAAGGCACGGGAAAAGTAATTAAAGAAAATCAATCGATATTATAAACTTAACTTAACTTTTCACTTTGTTTGAAAACCTTAGCAATATAATAAAATAGACATCGTATGAGAGAAAATGCGCACGTGCTTCTCCCGTAGCCTTCAGACAGTTACTTATGTGTGGGTACCTACTTAACAATGCCTGAACATATAGTTAACACTTTAATCTACTTAACTTAATTTAATAACAGAACAACATTAGTCATTCACACTTTACACATTATTGGTACTTTATAGATACAGAGACATTAATTTATAATTGAATTCCATTTGTCATGTAATGCTTCGTTTCCACCTAGCGCTCAACAGTGCTATACTGTAAAATTTTTACGCGCGGATCCTATGTGGATCCGCGCGGATTTATGTAGGAACGGCCACACTGGTCCTGATTTTGAAATAAGTGGACATTGGAAATATACGGATTTAATAATACTATTAGATAGTACTAATAAAACAGATCAATAAATTTTATATGTACATTCATAAAAATGCGTCATTAATATATAAAAAAAATCTTCTTCTGTATTATATTTCCATGACATTTCCTGTTGTAATCTATATTTCCAATGTCTACTTTTTTCAAAATTCCAGTGTGGCGGCGCGGGCGGTGTGAAAATTTTACAGAATAGCCCCGCAGAACAGTTCCGAGCGAGCAAACATTTGTTCGTTCGGTAAATAGAATGCTCAAAACAATGTTTCGTTGTTTCAATTGATGACTAAGAACGAGAGCATTCGTTCCCTGAGTCCAGTCAAACATCGCTGTACGAACTCGTTCGATCGCTCTGATGTTCCCATTAACCGAGAGAGCAATTGCTTACTCGTTCAGAACTGTTCTGAGCTTCAGTGGAAACGCAGCATTACATACTTAAGAATATTTTATTTTACCAAAGAAGGACATAGCCAGAATTTCCCTACTCACTTATCAAGTAATTTATTATATGAAGATTTTCGTTTATTCTAAGAAGTGAAGTGATGTATCGATAGTTAGTGATAATAGTTTACTCGCAAAGGCTAGGCGGTTGTGTACTTTATGAACGAGGTCATTTAAGAGGCAAATGGACATAATGTCCACATAGACACACATCGCGTACTCAGAGTTGCCACAGGTATATTTAACTTCATTTGTTTTAAGATTTTGTATTTACTTGTACTTTGCTTAGTCAATATTAGTAGATAAGAGCCAGCAGTTTAACAAGTATTTACAGACTGGGTGAAGGTATAAAATCAGTGGTTTGTCTGGGTCCGTGTTATTTCAGATCCATAGACTTTTTCTAACTACATACAGGTAGATAGTGTATCTTCTTGTTTAGTGATTTCTTTTTCAGTGTAATTGTTTCTTGTATTTTTCTTCTCGTCCATTATTATCGGTCGATAATATCGGATGCGTTATTGCGAAACTTTTATTGCGTCGTTAATTTAGCAGTAGTGTGTTACTTCCTTGCCATCCTAATACATAAAGTACTAAAAACAGATATCGCAATACTGCCGTCCTCAACCTAAAACGCGGCTAAATGACAAAACCAACTTTTGAGATATATGGCCAAAAACGGCACGTAAACTTTAAATAACTGCCCTTTTTGTAACCATTCAACACATATCGAATTTTTCGACTTAAACTATAAAGGATACGAATACTTGTTAAAGACAGATCGATAAAGAATTAAAAACTGTATAAGATGCAATTAAAGACTGAAAAATCGACCACATGTCACTTAGCAGCACTTTAGTCTGAGGACGGCAGGATAACGATTAATATTAATCGTTATTCCTTCTTCTATTAGTGTGTGGCAACTGAAACGAACGTTCGGATAGATATCTCTATATTCATCACTTTGGAGCAGTAAAATCCACAAAATAGCTTGGCATATTGCGATCTGCGTTCTTGGCAACCGTTGTTGGCGTACGTGCGAAATCAGATGCCTCATTAAATCGTATTCCTTATTAATATTATAAACTAGGTTTGCGCCCGCGGCTTCTTGTGTGTAAAGTACTTACATAAAATACTGAATCCACGTTTTAACCCAGGATGAACTTTCTATTTTTCTGTGTGATCAGAAGGTTAATTACGTCGTCTAACATAGCACTTTCCATCGGAATTTACCATATTTATTTTTGTTTCATCTGAAAATAACATTTTTTTCCATTCTCGTACCGTCCAATTAACATATTTTTTAGCAAATAATAATTGCTTTTCTCAGTCTTGCTTGGTAAGAAGCGGTACCTTTGAGAGATTCTTCCAAACAATTTAGCTTCCACTAATCTTCTGCGTATCAGTCTTGACGGGTTATCAGGCGAAAAAATTTCATTTTTAATCTGGTTGGAGCCTGTACTTGGATCTTTTTTAGCAACACGAACGATTAGCGTATCTTCTCTGGGAGAGGTTTTTCTTGGCCGAGCCTTTCTAAACAATTATTTGCCTAGTTGTCGCGTCACATCTTTTATTTTTACCCTAATTGAACAAAATAAAATATAGATAAAATTTTTAATTGCCGCCAAAATAATAGAAAAAACCAAGAAAGAAATGTAATTCTCCAATTTAAAAAAATAACGATAACGATAAGGATGCTTTTTTTAAATGTTCTTAGTTAGGCGTCCAAGCGGTCAGTAACAGAAAATAAACTCATATATGTGTAAGACTCATTGTGTAATTAAAAGTAAGATATGTTTTATATTTTATGCAATTAATGAGTTTTTTTTATTTGAGTGGCTATATTATTGCAATTATTGAATGTGTATATTTTTTAAGAACATTTGTACGTTGAAGGTATACTTTCTTTATTCATAAGAAGTGTTTCTTATTATATGACTACCTCTATATATATATCGACAGTGGCAAAGCAAAACCAATTATACAACACACCACTTTGGTGCTGCTTAAAAATGTACATGAAATAAAAACTGAATTTAAGTTCATTTTCAAGCAACACCAAAGTGGCGTATAAGCGATTATGCTTTTCTATTAGTTTAGTTTAGTGTTTCAGGGCGGTTTCCGCACTTAGGCCCGTATTATAGAAAGATTCTGAGTGATTGATCTAGTCTTGAGCATAGTTAGAAAGGGATATCACTATATATAGCACATAGCGACATCCCTTTCTAACTGTACTCAAGTAAAGATCAACACTTAGTTGTCATTCTGTAATACGGGCCTTACTCCCAATTGTTGGACCATTGTGCGTGTTTCAAAATATTCTCGTTTATTCCAACCAGCCTATATCAGTCCAGAAGGAAAGCAGCCTTGGTAGGCTTCTGCAAGCTTCGAGAAACGATTCTGGTGACTGGAAAAGTCGTGCCCGTTGGTCGGCCACGCTCCTGTATTCCATTATGACATGCTGTGGCGTTTCTTCTGCCTCCATGCATCCTCTGCATAAGGGGCTGTCTGTTACTCGTATTATATATAGTAGGTGTTTGTTCAAAGCTAACAAATGTGGGCTCCGTCCCAATATCCATGATGTTATGGTTGGTTTGGAATAAGTATTCAGTTAACAACTCACCCCTTTTGTTTGTATCCCTACTTCCCCACAGTGATGTGCGTTGCAGTCGGCCGCTACAATCAGCTCCCATTTGAGGTCCTCGCAGTATCGTACCAGTTCTGTCAGCTCCCTCGGAGGATTTTCACTTTCATTCGGCATGTAGACTGAAGCTAGTACCAGAACTGTTTGATTATCTGTGGGGATCGTCACAGCTGTGAGGTCTCTAGAACAGAATTGGTTAAGCATGGTTGTTTTTATGGACTTGGGTGTAAAAATGCGTGTTCTTGGTTTATCGATAGATGTGTTTAAAAGTAACTTACCACCGATGTTTTTAAGACCGCAAATCCTATTATTTTTGATCTCGGGTTCCTGAATTAGTGCGACGGTCATGTTGTTTGTCTTCAGTACCCTGCGCAGTGTGGCCTCCGCTATCTGCTTGTGCTGGAGATTGGTCTGTATGATGTTGATGGTGCTACTAGGGACTGCGAAGGACGCGGTGGTGGGTGTCAGGAATGTAGGGCCTTCCTGCTCTATAGTTGCACTCGGTGTCGCTACTGCCTTTTTAAAGTTTTCGTTTTAGTTTAGTTTTAGTTTTTCCAATCAACTTTTTACTACAAAACTAAAAAAAAACATTTGTGTTAGCTGCATAGGTATGGTTTATTTTTAAGTACTGTTGGTTCTCCTAATTATTGTAAGTGGCACATAAATCAAAGCAATAAAGTTTTATTTATTTATTTATTTTGATAGGTCAACAAATTTTCTAGTTTTCGTGATTAGTTAGTGAATAAATTACTGAGTGACCATAGCCTTTGGTGGCCCTATAGAAGTCTTTGATTATTTATAAAAGTATGTATATTTGAAGTTTCGAACTATTAGTGTGCTTTAGTTGCCTAGAGTAGAACATAGGAAAATAACGAATAATATAATGTAGCGGTATTATGTACATGGATACCTATATACTGTTCTTTTTTAACTCCATAAGGTCCCATATAATCCCTATGAGTGGTAGAATAAATTGTACAATTCAAAATAGCCAAATTAAAAAAAAGGGTAATTTTATTTCATTGAATTCTAAAACTCACGTGTATAAAGTCGCGGAGGAGTATGGCTAATAAGTATCTATTTGTCACATCTCTATGTTAGGATGTGGATTAGTTATCAATTCACAGAACTCCGTGCAAAAGCTTTATGTAATTAGAATATTATTATATGGACGGATTTGTGTCTAGTTTCCGGGTATGAGATCGATTAATATAAAGTGCACACGACCTCCTTCAAAAGTAGTCTTTTTCAACAAGCAAAAATGTTCCTTCTGATTTCAAAGTTTAATTAAAACTTTCCCTAAGGGACTTCGCTTTAGAAGAGATCTTATCTCTAATAAGA